CTTAACAGTATAGTTTATATGCTATTAAGCAGCAATGATAAACGTATATTGTGCCATACACTCACAATATTAAGCATGCATTGGAGTATATATTGATACAGTTCAGTTATGTGTTATTTTAAACATGACCCTTCTTTGAAGACATAGGAACTTACAAGGCTGATCCAGCGCTGTGAGATATCAGGGGCAGGGTGGGACTTTTCTGTACAAAAGGGGATAAAAAATACTGTGAAATTATAAAAAAAGGACAAAGCTTTATGTATTTGTAGCATACACAAAACATATAATATGTAAATATGTCTGTAGATAAATTAATCCTTAAAAAAAGCATGAAATAATGAGTACAAATGAGTCTAAATTTGAAAAAAGTCAGCCTACCTGTGCCTCAATCTGTTGCCTCAACTTCTTGGCTTTGCTCTGCTTAAAGTAATCCATGATCATCATAGAAGCATAGATCTTTCCAACGGTCATGTCCGTGTCTGGAGATACATATATTCACAGTCATTATGAAAGTACAACAGATTCATTTACATCAACCAATCCAAACTTTTAACATAGGCCAGTTTAATGCTCATAACACTGTTAAAATGGAAAGGTGTCATGTAATACCTACGGAGCCCCTAAAGGAATAAGGTGATGCCAAAATAATTAGATGACAATGCTTTTGCATTTCCACAAGAAACTTTGCATTTGCTTGCAAAACATTTGATCGAAATACTATGACGTGGGAACAAAAACTTTGAACATTCGTGAGCGAATGCAAAGTTTCTCCAGAGAACACAATATTTTGAAAAAAATAATGTTTCCCATGAATGCAATACTTTTGCGAGCAAAATAAAAATCATTGAAAAATAATTGCTTCCTATTTTTTTCCATCACTATTGCTGCGTTCAAGTCCTCCTGGGACGTTCGTACTTACGAGTTGACAAGTCAGTTTGGTCGGCACATGATGGCGGTGTACAACAGGGTCTGTTAACTCTGCTTATAAATTAATATTTTACGTTTTTAATATTTTTTTTAGACCAGGATCCCAGTATAACTGATT